AATGCTTGAGTTTTGGATCAGTAAAGTAATTAATAAAACTAACACTGTTCATAGTGGCCCATCGCAGACTCATTCTTCACACACCCAACATTCAGATGTTACTGCTTTATCTGTAAATGTTAGTTCTGCACCTGCAAAGAGTCACTCACCATTGAATAATTTAGAAACTTTAATGAAGGAATTTGAAGGAAAAGTTACTCGAGAGCAAGCTGCTGCAATTTATAAATCTTCTGGGTTTAGCTTTGATGCTTCAATGAAGTGTTTAAAGGAGGGTCCAACATTGGAATCAATTTTATTAATGTTAAATCAAAAGATGGGGTCTGTGGAATCAGTTGCTATTACAGTACACACAAACGACATGTGGCATGATGTTTTACACCATTATAAGTCTGGTACTGTTAATTTTGGAAAGCGGCTATTCGTTAAGTTAAGTGATGCACCTGCCATTGATGCAGGAGGTGTACGTCGTCAAGTATATTCAACAGTATACAATGAATTCCAGTGTAATAAGCATATAAAATTATTCACTGGACCTTTACACAGTCTTAGTCCTGCTTGTACTGCAGAAGCAAGGTCAAGTGGACTATTCAAAATCTTAGGTAGTATGGTTGGGCATAGTATATGGCAGGATGGCATTGGGTTCCCATTTTTTTCATTGACAAATTACACTTATATGATGGAAGGTGAGGAGAAAGCACTTCAAGTATGTTCAGATAATGATATTGGTGCTGGTGTTGCTGAGGTTATATCAAAGGTATATGACTAATTGTAGAATCAATATCAAAATGTATTGTATTTTTATTGATTAATGTTATGTAGATAAAAAGCCTTTGCAAATGTAAATGAAAATTCTAAAAATAATTTTAAAATTATTTTGCAAAGTATATCATGGATTTCACAAGGGAGTTCTTTCTCACCTAGAAAATTAATACTGCAGAAAATTCTCACTGCTATGTGCATGTAGAGCATTACAACCAACACTATTTTTTGATATCATTATAAAGTATATATCTATAACGAAACTGGCAATGAATTTGTTGCACCCATGCACATATGGAATATACTATGCTACCTAATAGGAGTAGTGTAATATAATATTTATAGTAACCTCATATTTCAAAATTATTAGTTGCAAGATATTAAGACTGAAGATGATGGGAAAGAAGTTATGAAAGATGAACTGATTGTGGATATTATGAGTCGTTGTGGAATTACAATGATTGCCAATGTAAGCCATCATTATCCAAATATTATAATAATTTTTATAATATTTTAATTTTAATTGATTATTTTAGCCTTCTACAAAAAATATAATAGTTCAGGATATCATCACATATGAAGCATTGTTCAAGCATTCAAAATTACTCGATCAATTTGTTGAAGGATTGAAGGCTACTTCTCTCTATCCACTACTGAGAGCATTTCCTACTCTATTTCAACCTCTGTTTACTTTTACAGAGCTTACTTCTGAAGAAGTTCAAAAATCCCTAATTTTTCCAAACGAGAAATCATTCATTGCACAAGAAAGTATTATTTTACGTTATCTAAAGAAATACATTGATGAATGTGATTCAGAAGGTATAATATGCATAGAATGTAGCATTAAATACAAATTTTGCACAAATGCCACAGATGTTTCACCAATTTTAACTCTCTCTATTGTATTGTAGGTTTGAAGGAATTTGCACTCAGTATTACAGGCAGGATTTCAGTCCTGCCAAAGTCAATTGAAATAAAATTTGAAGCAGATCGCATGGGGACAATAGCTACTCATAGCTGTTCAGGAGAAATAATTTTTCCACGTCGGTTTGAAGGAGACTACAAAATGTTTTGTTCGGCTTTGAAATCAGTTTTAAGTCATGACTTTAACACGTATTAATTTGTTTACATTGTAACATAGTTTTTTCTGACTTAATAATTAATATTGTGGTGTGTTTGCTAGTTATTAGATTTGCTTACATAGTTAGATCAAGAGTATATACATATTATAACTAATTTTTTTGTGTGAATTAGATGTTTTTTATTATTGTCATATTAAATATCAAAATTAATTATGAGTAGCTAACGTGAGCCTGAGTGAGCTCGAATTGAGATAAAAAGAGGAATACATGTGGGTAGCCTAGCTATTTTTATGACCTGCATAGGGGTGTAGCTCCCAGTTTGTTCCAATAGATATTACACCCAAACCACTTTTATAACTTTTCTGATACACATACAATACATGTACTTATGTTGAACCGAGTGTTGAGCTGATTCCAATTAAAATTGGATTTTTTGTGAATTTTACTCATAAAATTAGGCTAAAATTTGACTCTGTGTAATAATAGTGCTGGGCCACAGACCAAATTTGAAAAGGAGAAAAATTGGTGTTTTTATAATTTATTCTGATACATATACATGCATGTACTTTTGTTGTGTAGAAAGTTTGAGCTGATTCCAATTAAAATTGGATTTTTACACAATGCTGCTAAATATCTGGTCAAAGACCATTACATGTATACAATGTCAGGGTAAGTGAGCGTATTATATTTCATCAACAAGGAAATTCCTCCATTTTTTGACACATTGTCAGTAATAGAAAATTAATACCTTGTAAAACTTACAAAGAAATACACAATCAAAATTAATAAATAATCCAATTGGGTTTTTGTCTCTTCCTTATAACCTATGTCCTCCCCATCTCTCCTAATCTCTTTATGTCATTTAGTAATACTTGACTGAACTATTTCTTATTAATTATATTATCTCCTTGTTCCATTGCGTCAGGCAGTGGTAATAATTGTATATCAATATTAAGGACATCCAGTCATTAATAACTCTATAGAGGAGAAAAAAACAGAGAAAGTAGAAATCAAAAGATGAGGAGTACAGAGGGTGAAAATTTACAGTGAGCAAAAATTTTGCAAGCTAGTCTAAAAATAAGGTTTGAGCCACACAAATTTTTATTGCTTTTAATTTACTTAATACAGTACATGTACATGTATTTGTGTATGCAATGTGCATCACTTTAGATGTGGTAGCTATTCCTAGTGTGATGTTCATTTCTCCTCTACCGGCAAAATGAAATGCATTCAATGTCATATTTGAGTGGAAGATTCACCAATAGACTATAAAAGAAAACACAATTATTAGCATATTCCATTTTTTACTTGTGCTGCTAGTAGTCCAACAGGTTCTCCTGGTTCACCTACTGCTCTTAAACACTTGAACTGTGACAAAGTCCTGAACTTTCAGGAGTCAATAAAGTCTACCCACAAGAAAATGGGACACAAATGTAAGCATGTACATGTACATGTATGTATATGCATAACAAGTTTGATACAATAACAATCATAAAATTGTTATAATTGTCTTTAAAATGCTGGGCTGGTATTAATGTATTGCAAAAAGAGCTGAACCAAAATACCTGTCAGGTCTGAGGACTGATGTAGGACAGCATCATGCTTGTCATTTAACCTGTAAAATAATAATATTCTTATAATTAATGCTTAGTTTGCCACTCATTAATCTTTGAATGAGCATTGCTAAATTACATGTACTCA